TGACATTGAATTTCTCACACGTCGAGAGCTCAGTAGCCACACGTGTGCCTTGGCTTTCCGCGCTGGGAGCCCAGGCCTGGGCGGGTTCCCATCATCCGGAAGGTTCCGAGGGGCCGGCGTTCCGGCACCTGGACGTCCGCCCGGGCACCAGCGTTTCGCCTCCCAGGGCCTGGCGTCCCTCTGCGGCCCTGGACACCGGGCGGAGGTGTTTCTGGGCAGGTCAGTGGGTGTTCAGGGCGCGGGCGGTTGGCACACGGGGCTGTTTCCGCTTCCTGGGGGGCAGCACGGAAGGGTGAAATCGAAAGACGAAAGCTCTTCCCTCCTCGCCGGCGAGGCAAAAGTCATCATTTCCCGTCCGGGTGTTTTGAGGCTGAGGGAGGTGTTTGAGGTTTTGAGGGGCTGGGTCCTGGGCCCGGCCGCATGGCCAGGTGATGTAACTAAACGAAAGACACCACTTTTCAATACGGCCGAAGCGCTTTCCCACCCCATAGCCATGGGGGTGGGGGGGGGGGTGGGGTCAAAGACGGGAGCTGCCTCTCGCTCCCTCCGAGCAGAACACGGGGACCCCTGGCCCCTGCCTCAGTATGACGTGCGTGTGCACAGTGGGCTGTGAAGCGAATATTGGCTCTTCCTAGGGCCTCGTCGTTATGTTAAAACACAAACATTAAAAATAAACAGGTTGTGGCTGTCGTCTGACATGAGCGACGTTCAGAGTCCACGCGGCTCACAGGAGAGGCTGCTCAGTGGTCGGCGCAGGTACCTGAGAGCAGACATCGGTGCTGTTCCCCCCTCCCTCCTGGTTCCCTCCCAGCCCCTCCTCCGGGGTCACCTCCCCAGATGTGTGCAGGCCCCGGTGTGGGCCCCGGTGTGGGCCGTGGTGCGGGCCGTGGTGCGGGCCCGGTGCTAGCGGTGTGGCAGGCCGTGGTGCGGGCCTGGTGTGGGCCGTGGTGCAGGCTGTGGGGTACGGGCCGTGGTACAGGCCCGGTGCAGGCCGTGGTGTGGGCTGTGGTACGGGCCGTGGTGCGGGCCATGGTGCGGGCCTGGTGTGGGCCCGGTGCTAGCGGTGTGGCAGGCCATGGTGCAGGCCCGGTGCTGGCAGTAAGGCAGGCCGCGGTGTGGGCTGTGGTACAGGCCGTGGTGCGGGCCGTGGTACAGGCCGTGGTGCGGGCCGTGGTACAGGCCGTGGTGCGGGCCTGGTGTGGGCCGTGGTGCAGGCCGTGGTGCGGGCCCGGTGCTGGCGGTGAGGCAGGCCGCGGTACAGGCCGTGGTGTGGGCCGTGGTGTGGGCCGTGGTGCGGGCCGTGGTGCGGGCTCGGTGCTGGCGGTGAGGCAGGCCGCGGTACAGGCCGTGGTGTGGGCCGTGGTGCGGGCTGTGGTGCCGGCGGTGAGGCAGGCTCAGGTCTGAGCAGTTTCTCAGGCGCCTCAGTGCAGGGTCCTAGGGTTCTAGGGAGTCAGACGCAGACACAGCAGCACGTCCTGCTGTTCCCAGCTCCCGCTCCAGGGGGCAAACGCAGAGACAGTGACCTAACTAACCGGGCGTTGCAGGCGCGGCCGGGGGAGGAGCCGAGCGGGGCTCCAGGACGGGGAGGTGGGCTGTGCAGGCGGTTCTCAGGGGCGTGAAGCCAGAGCGCTGAACCAGCGCACAGTCTACCAGCCCCTGGCAGCCGTCCCTTCGTCTCGAATCTCAGCAGCGCCCCCTCTCCTGGGAGTGGCACACGTGCAGCCCGGCGGCCCATTGCTCACACGTGTGCAAACCCTAGGTGTCGTTTGAAAATGAGAAGACCCCAGACTCTGAGCAGTGGGCCCCGTGGCTGCGCACAGCCTCCAGCGACATCACAGACTCTGGGTCTGGACGGCGGGGCCCACCGGCTGTGGGTCCTGTCTGTGTCCTTGTGGGGACGGCGGTGGGTCCCCGACGCCACTCGCGGTGCCTCTCCCCCAGTTAGCAGCCCCGAGGGAAACAGTCACTGCGAGTGGTCTCGAGTGTTTGACCGAACGCCTTTGTCGCAAGAGCCCCCGTGGAGCCGGGCCGAGCAGCCTGGCCTGCAGTGAGGTAGCCAGGCAGAAAGCCTACCCAGTTCTTCTGGCAAATCCTGTGGAGCTCTGAAAGGGAACCCCACTGGGAACCGCACCTGACCAATGAGAGCGGTGTGCCCCCGATCTCGGGCCCAGGCTCGCCGAGGCTCCCTGGGGAGGGCGGATTGAGGAAGCTGAAGGCTGAGCGCACGGGTTGGTTTCGCGTTGAGTCCCTGTGGCCGGTGTGAAATCTCAGGCTGAATCACCCCCCTCGCGCTCTGCCGGGCGGCCCCGTGCGCCTGGGGCTCCCCCTGGACGCCACGGCTCTGAGTCCCCGCGGAGCGCAAATCCTCACGGATGTGAGTGGACGATGGAGACGGGATGATGAGCCCTGGCCGGGGCAGCTCAGAGGATAGAGCGTCGGCCGAGCACCGAGGGGTCCAGGGTTCAAGTCCAGGTCAAGGGCATGTGCCTGGGCTGCAGGTTCACTCCCAGCCCCAGTCAGGTCTTGTGGGGGAGGCAACCAATTAATGTCCCTCCTGAATCAATGCCTCTCTCCCTCTCTCTCTCTCTCTCCCCCCTTCTCCTCTCCCTCCCTCCCTTCCCTTCTCCCTCTACAAAATATCAATGGAAAAAATATCCCCAGCTGAGGATTAGCAAACAAGAAAATAAAGAATCAGATGACGTGACGGATGAAAGGACACAGGTGACCCACCTCCAAGATTCTCACCTAAAGGTCCCCTCAGGGCCAGAGGGACAGGACGGTCAGAGCACGTCCCTCGTCCACCCCCACGCCCTGGCCAGGCGGGCGGCATGCCGTCCTCTGTGCTGCCCCGAGGGCCGGTGACTTCAGGCTCTTGGCTCCGCAGTCCCTCCTGCAGCGCCGGCTTTGTTTGCCCACCTCCCTGACCTTGACCGTCTGGTCGGAGGGAGAGCCTGCCCAGAGCCGGTTAAACTGTAACCTCGCGGCCAGTGGCAGGAGCCTTAGCTCCGGGGCCCTTGGCTGCCCAGGGGGTTCCCGGGAGGAGCCTGTCTCTCCAACCCCCAGGCCCCCCGTTAGTGGGGGACATTTCCATCCTCAGGTGACTTTCTCTGTGTAAACAAAGCCCTGCCCGTGCTCTGTGAGAACTAGAATATTCTCTTCGGCACAGGACAGGCATCTGACCCAGTTGTATTCAAATCACAAATTCAGGACACGACTGGCTAGGCTGGGACAGTGGATCTCAAATTTTATTATGTGTCAGAATCACCGAAAGGGCTTTTTAAAACAGCGATTCCTGCCCGGCCAGTGTGGCTCAGTGGTTGAGTGTTGACCTGTGAACCAGGAGGTCACAGTTTGATTCGGGTCAAGGGCACAGGCCCGGGTTGTGGGCTCGATCCCCGTGTGGGGGGCATGCAGGAGGCCGCCGATCCACGATTCTCTCTCATCACTGATGTTTCTCTCTCTCCCCCTCTCCCTTCCTCTCTGAAATAATGAAAATACATTAAAGCAGCGATTCCTGGGCCGCGCCTTGTGTCTTTCATTGCGTGGCGCTGGTGTTAGGCCTGGGGGTCTGCGTGGCTAACACCTCTCAGGGGTGCTGAGCTGCTGGCCTGGGGCATCCTTTGAGCATCACTGGATGGACGGTTCTCCAGCTCCCTGCACGCACACACCTGGGGGGACACGGCGGGCGGGACACTCCCTGCATCAGTGGGGCCACCAGGACAGGGGCCTGGCGCGCAGCAAAAGCACATGGAGCTTTCCACACATCTCAGACAGGACTGGGCCTTGGACCACTTGCTCGGCGAGCCTGGAGCTGAGCCTGGGCCTGGGCAGGGTTGGCCGTTCCCAGGTGAAGTGTCGTCAGGTGAGGCCTTGGCCAGCACGGAGTCCCTTGGAGACGGGGCGGGAGGGGTCGGAGGCAGAGATTGGTATCTTGGCGCCCGCCCCCGGGAGCTTGAGCCCATCTCCTTGGGGTAAGACTCCTGCCCATTACGTAACCAGATAATGTCCACAGTAAGGCCCGCATACATTCCCAAATGCTAAGTGGTCAGGGCCACATGCCCAGAATTCTTCTGCGGTCACCATTTTCCCTTTCCTGTGGGTGGACAGGGGACCTGCGGGTGGGCCCACGGGGCTGGCGCCTCCTGAAGGCCCGCCTCCTGCTGCCTCATGGCCACACCCTCGGCTGCCTTTGCTGACTCTGCACAGAGGGGTGCTCAGCCTGAGCCCTTTGACACCGAGACCTGCACCCCAGAAGCAGGAGGGACTGTCTCGGCTCCCAGAGAGGCCCGCGGCCGACACTGGGTGACCTCAGAGACCAGCTGGCTCAAGGTCACGCTGGACAATGACTCCGGAGCCTAAGGTTTGGTCCCACTGGGCACTCCCTACGCGACGAAGGCGGTGCCTCTTCCCGGGCGGTCCCGCTTCCTCCCATACACGGCGAGGAGAACGCATCCCCTGACCAGAGAGGCGTTGTGGGACCCGATAGCATTTCCTCCCACGATCACAAAGGGAACAGGAAAGGCGCTCCCACCACGGCTGTAGTCTTTGGATTAGAAAAGAAGGCCACAGGCCAACACACTACCCACCGAGCCACACCGGCCGGGCAGTCACTCTGTCTTTCAAACCCTCCCTCTGTGAGTCCGGGCGGAGGAGAGTCCTCCCAGGAGTGGCAGCTGGGCATGGAGACGGCCAGGGCTCTCCAATCCACAGCCCACCTGGGGTAGGCCTTCTCATGTGGCCGTCCTGCTAGGTCCACCCACTCGGTCCCTCCGAGGATGAAGCCGTGGAGGTGGTTCTGGCCCGAGAAGACGAGCCTCCTCACAGGTTGAGGCACCAGCGCCCTGACGAGTTGGGTTCAGTGCATTCCGCAGTCTCGCTCTCGCGAAGAGCAGCGAGGAGTCTGAGAGCCATCGCGAGTCGCTCGGTGTCGGGAGGAAGTGGTTCATTCAACCCTGAGGCTGCGCCCCCCGCACGGCTGGGTATCTGTTTTTCAAGAAACTGAAAGAGGCTCCATCTGTCCCATGAGTAAGAACGAAGGTGCCCACGTGTGAGCCCCTCTCGAGCCTCAGCCCCGGTAACCTTGGCAGGGAAACCACGTTAAGAAAGAAAAACAGGAATGTTCTTTTACCCCTTTCCGTCCAGAAATTACATGGCCGCCGGCTATGGCTGCCGGACGTAATGTAATACGTTTTCAATGAGATCTTTTCGTTCTGGGTGAACCAGAAGTCTTTGGCAGCCAACACTATGTATTCATCCTGAACCCTGTCTTACTATGAGCTGCACTGTGGTAGAAGTTTTTAAAATGGGACAGTTCAGCTTAATACATACGTGTTTCATGTTCTTATAAAAATTGTAAGTCAATAAACATAAGACATAAAATGAGTCCGTTGCAAATGACACCCTAGGATTTCGTAAAATGACTTATCCTAAGACAGAATGTTAAGTGCAAAAGATATCAAATACTATGTCTATGTTAAGTAGAGGGGAGTTTCCATGTCAACCGGCCAGCGTGGCTCAGTGGTTGAGCATTGACATATGAACCAGGAGGTCATGGCTCGATTCCCAGTCAGGGCACAGGCCCCGGTTGTGGGCTCGATCCCCAGTGTGGGGCGTGCAGGAGGCAGCCGATCCATGATTCTCTCTCAGCATTGATGTTCCTACCTCTCCCTCTTCCTTCCTCTCTGAGATCAATAAAAAGATATTAAAATAAATAAGCGAAGAGCGGCGCTCCTCCCAGACCGGGGTCAGGGGGCAGCCGTGTAGAACGTGGTCCGTGCTGACGCTTCCTCCTCTCTGTTAGGCCCTTGGACACGGGCCTGTGAGCAGACACACGTCTTGTTGCTGAAGCCTCGCTCACTCCCTTGCGGGGGAGGGTGCTGGACCTGAACTCAAACCCCTCCCAGTGAGATGACTGTAATCCACATGGACGTGACCAGGGCGCAGGAGAGGGAGGGGACAGCAGGGGCCCTGCCAGGACCCTGGGGACCGGCCGCCTCCAGGTAAACGCGTGGCCACCTGCACCGACAGGGCCTCCTGTGCTGGGGCTCTGTCTCCGCAGGAAACGCAGCTGCCCTCTGGCTCTGCATTGCTCTCTGGAGACGGCTGCCCCCGGGGCTGTGTCATGAGCCTGAGGTCAGGACGGGGTTGAGGAGGCAGGATTAGCACCCAACCCCGGGACTGGATTCCTGGGGGAGACCGCTGTCTCCTTACAATCTTGGGCACCTTATTTGGCTTCTCTGACTCTGTTTATCATCTGTAAAATGGGGATAAAAACATACCTACTTCATTTTCTTCTTTTGTTGATCCTCACCCGAGGATATGTTTCCATTGATTTTCAGAGAGGGGGGAAGGGAGGGAGAGAGACGGAGAGAAACATCGACGTGAGAGAGACACATGGATTGGTTGCCGGCTGCTCGGCCGGGGGTCCAGCCTGCCACCGGGGTACCTGCCCTTGACAGGATCGAACCTGGGGCCCTTTGGTCCGCAGGCCGACACTATCCACTGAGCCAAACCGGCCAGGGCCCGCTTCCTTTTCTGACGTGACCTTGTATGTGAACACGGCGCGTCATGCCCGGCACAGGTGAGCGCTCATCCGCAGCAGTTACTGTTTGTGGCACCTCCCTGCCCCTCGGCGCTGACTCCCTCCTCCCGGGTGGGAGGCCAGGGCCTGGGCTGCCTGGGACGCAGGGCGGCCTGTGAAGGAAGACAGTGAGCTGGAGTCCCGGTGCCG